GCTTAGTATTCCTCGCCATCCAAAGCCCCCCTGGAAAAAGTACAGATCACTGAGCGCACCAGGCATTTGGTCTTTCCTGTCCTTGAGATCCCGTTTCTCCAGATCGATGTTGATCTGCTGCGCGTTTTCAAAAGGCAGCCTGTGTAGCGCCCCACACAAAAACTGGCAACAAACAACTTTGGAAAGCAACAATGTTCTTTTGAAACAAAAAACATCTTTCGAACCATTTTTATCGCTTGACATCAACTTAAAGAACTTTATGAAGCTTACTTTTTATAAATAGCAACTTCTTTAACTTCTTTAAGGTCTTTTTAACAACTTTCAAAAGCAACCTTTCATATTTCTCAGACATTCAAACAATTTTGTGAAATAGCCAAGAACAGTTTACGCGCATTTATGTCAATAAACTCACAGTGGCGAGTCCTAATCTATATCCTTTTGCAGACAAGCTGGTGCTCCATTGTGATGCCCAATGAAAGCCTCCCCGAGTGACATGCGAGTATGATTGCGGCTATGGTGTGGTTAATGGTAAGAATATAACACCAGGTTTTGTTGTCTATTTGTGCGCTTCGCAGCTGCTCCATTGGCTCAAATTGGGGCCGCCCATCATGGCAGCTTTGGGGCTAGAACAAGTTGTAAATTTGGCGAAGCAGTATGGCGAGATGGAGAGACGAAAGGGCGGCCAAGAGGGGACTGGAAATTGCGCCTGCAGCTGCCAGGCGGATCGGCCGCAGGCCATCGCAGGCCTTTGGGTAGAGGCTCGAGGCAACGCAACCAAGCCCGGAACGCCCAAGTCAGACAAAGAGATGCCAACTTGGCCAGCAGAAAGCGGCAGTTAGTTCTTCAGAGCAAAGCTTTCAACAAGACGGGCCAAGCGCGCACTGCTGACTACCGGCTGACAAACGAAGATTTGACCAGGCAGAAATCAGCCGGCAAAGGCCAATGGAAGACCTGGACTCCAGAGGCCGTGCTTCGCGCAGGCTTTGGGAGTGAATCCGCCGCACGCAGGCAGCTGGCTATCGAGATGAAGGGCGCTTCAGGGAGCCAGGCGGGGGCTGCCAGGTTTGCTTGCGCCGCTGCCACGTGCAGGTCTCAGGCAGAATCTTGCCAGAAGGTTGCGGAGGAGTCGGCTCATCAGCCCTTGAGGTTTTTCATCCGAAGCTTGATGTTTGATGAGTCAACTTTCGAGTTGAAAGTTGGGAAAGATGCAGCCAATAGTTGCTCTGTTCTGTGCTCCCATGCTCAGTGGACAATGGGATGCGAGCCAGAAGTTGGAGATGGCAGAGGGATGAGCACGTTGCGCGGGCTCCGCGGGTTCTAGCGCCCATGATCCACTGGCGAGCAGCTCTGGCGGATACTCGGCGGGATCCACTCGTGGGATCCACTGGCGAGCTGCTCTGGCGGGATACTGGGTGGGGGCGTGGTGTAGAAGCATCGCAAACGCGGATTCCAACATAAAATCTGACAACCCCTTCCTGTCGGGTGGGGAACAAACAAACAAACAAACAAACAAACAAACCTTTTCTCTTTGGTCTTCCCCAGGTACTCTTTGGAGCTTAAACAAAATCGGTTCATTGCCCAAAATAAAGGGGGTCATGGACCCATTGAAGGAGACTCCAGGTACCACTCACTTCTAACCTGAGACCAGACAGAGGGTCCCTACAAGAACAGGTCCCAAGTTCCTTGTGGAGAGGCCTCCAATGGAAGACTCGACCCAGTGGCGGAGGTCGCCAAGTCTGACAGAATATTCCCAGCCCCCCCTATGATGGACACTGAACGCGTCTATTTTGTACCCCTCCTTCATTCAGAGTAGTGGTTTTTGTTTGGGGTTGGCTGCAACATGGACTGTAAGTGTCCATGCCCCCCCCAAAAAAAACACATGGCTTTTCCCATATCCAAAGCCCAACGTACTCTCCTTCCGTTTTTGAGTTTGGGGTTGGTTAAGAGGGAAAGCAGAGCAAAGGAACCAATCTGGAGGTCCACCTCCAGGTGTGCAGAGAGGGGACGATTGTGCTCTAAAGAGTAGCGGGGAAAACCAAAGAGGGTTTGTTGGTTTGCTTGTTTGTTTCTTTCTTTCTTTCTTTGGTTGTTTGTTTGTTTGTTTGTTTGGTTTGTTTGTTTGTTTTCGAGGGTTTTTTCTTTCTCAGGCTGGCTAAAGGGTGACCATATCTCTCGCCGCATGCCCATGTTTTGATTGACTATGGGATGCGAAGCCACTTCGAAGTGTGAGGTCGCAGCTGAATTATTCTTCAACGCGATTGGGAGGGCCGTCTGGTGGGGCTGTACTACTGTGGATGGACGAAATCCGTTTCGCACCACCTAGAAACCCTGGTTTCTGATGATTCCCCTAAAAATTCTGGCTTCCCATGGTGTCAAAGTGGTGCAGGATTTCGTCCATCCACAGTATGTTCGTAAGAGAACACTTTGGATGATTGTTTGGCCGCTTTGTTAGCTGGGGAGATGGCGGACATATTTTTGGTGTGGTTCCCCCTATCAACCCTGCAGAGGGAAGAGTATTTGGGGTGAACATTCCATCCCCAACTTTGAATTGGGACAAGCTGTTGTCGCTTCCTTCGGTGAGAATCTCTACCGCAGCAAGCCGAGCCAACGCCTAGATGAGCGGTGTTCACTCGGTTGCCCTTTGCAAGAGCCCCCAAGGGGCATGGCGGCGGGCCGCTTCGAACGTCAAATACATGGATCTTTGGAACCCAGGTGTCGTTCCGTATTCATTGCCTAAGCCTTCCGCAAAACGATCAAGAACAACTATACAGAAGGGATCAGCGTTTTTTTTCTCCATCAAATGCCCTTGCCTTAGTTTCATGGGTTTGTACTATTGTTGGGGTTGTTTGCTTCCCAGGAATCGGAACGAATGAGTCTTGTTTGCAGCCATTGCAGTGCCTTGGATGGACGAAATCCCGCACCACTTTGAAAACATGACTGAAACCACTGTTTGTTGGTTTCTTAGGTCATGCTGGATTTCGTCCATCCACGGTATTTCCTGGATTTCGGTTCAGTGATGACCATGAGTTTCGAGGCTTGGGTGCTTGACAACCCGTCCCCAAGTAAACGACAAGAGGCTGGGTTTTAGATTTCGGATCCCCTTCTTGACACCCAGACCTGCCACCTTGGGACCTCCCTTTCCGCGGCCTTCCTGTGGATTTCGGGCGATTCGGGGCATCGGGGCACCGCTGTTGGCTTTCAAAGGGGAGCTGCGGGTTTTTCGCACGGCGGACCCAAAGGTTCGAGGGCGTGCCTTTTTGAGTTGAGGACTCAAGAGATGTCTTTGCGCCTGCCTGCGCGGGTATTTTCTCGCGGCTGGCTGTGTTGCTCATTCCAGGCGCCCCTCAGCACGGTTTTAGTTGGTTTAGAGGGGGTTTCCATTTAACATGAACAGCCAAGACTAGGTCCGCCAGTAGTGCCCTTTTACGGGAGGGTTCCGCTACTACAATAGACTCCAGAAAAAGGGTACCCTTTTTCTAGCCTCTCAAATCTGGAGGACCTAGAAGAGGAGATCTTGATTCGCGTTTACTCTGCCTCACTTCAGGCAGGACATCGACGAGCTCATCAGCGAGCTGCGGTACGCCGCGGCAGAGATGCGCCCAGAGTGAGGGCGGCGGAGAAAAGGTCTCCGGGCGAGGGCGGGGTTTGATTGATTGACTAGGTCCCCCAGTAATGCCCTTTCTCATTTCCTTTTTTGGTTGGGAGGGTTCCCCTACTAAAATAGACAAAACCGAAAAACAGTGGGTAGTTGAGTGTCCCAACGCCAAGCTGGACTCAGCAAAACCCAAAGATGGAGTCTGGTGAAGTCGGGCCTTTCGAAATGGATCACGGCAGTAGTCTTGGAACGTCACCTTTTGAGCTTCTGACGGTGAGCATTTTGCCTTTGGAAGTATTCTGGCCTTTTGGCTCACTTTGGGGGGGGGGGGAACAAAAACCGAGGTTCGCGTATTTTAGAACCCATTTTAGTGTGGATTGGGATGTTCACTGGGGCTACGATTGGGGTTTTGACCCATGGCCAGGTCACTTTTGGGGAAAAAAACACAGAGGGCGCCGGTTTCAGTTTGGCGAGCGATTGTTTCCAAAAGAAACTTGGGGTTGGGTGGAGCCGGCCGCTCGGGTCGAATGATTGAAGGTTGGAGGACAGTTTCCCACCCAGAAGTAGATGCATAATATATATATATATACACACACTGTATATATATATATATATATCCGCCCTTTTGATGTGTTTGATGATGATTTGTGGCAGATCCCATGTGTACCAGTTGATGATTATGACTCATGTGGTATTTCTAGAAAAGGAACCGTACATGCAAAATTGCACAGAGGGAGTGGAGGATATTGATAGAGGAGACACTCGAGTCGTATTTTGGCTGCACGTGCTGTTCCATTCGCGCTCACGTGCAAACTAAAGTGACTCAGTATGACAAAGGGTGCTTAGCATAGGTGTCCTTTTTAGGTTAGTTTGGTTAAAAATAGATGGCACTGGTTTAAAAAAATATTTCACACACCAGGGCCATCTGTTTTTCCAAAAGGCCACCTATATGGTGCTTAGACTCTTGGACGCGGAACGCTCTGTGGTGCGCCCATGTTTCTTCCTGGTGCGATTGGTAGGATCTTCCGGGTTTTGGGAATGAACCGTTTTGGGATTCTCTTCAAGGCAACCAGATCGGGCATGATGGTTTTCGGGGGTCATTTCTCATTCCCGGCCTATCGCACTGGGTCTGGATAAAAGAAGGCGACGCAGGTCCAGTGATTCCACCTCGGCGATTTTGCCATTCCCAACATCTCGAAGTGCTCATTCCCTAGGTCCCCAGCCAGGTGCCCTTTTACCGTATCTTTGGGGAGGGTTCCCCTACTAAAATAGACAACACCGAAAAAAGTGGGTACCTTTAGTGTAACCTCTCAAATCTGGAGGACCTAGCTTCATGTCCCATTCTCCTATCGAAACCAGCAATTCACTGAGCAAGCCGAACCGCAAGTTGGCCGGCCTGGCCGAGGTTCATCTTGGCCGTGCTCTCCACCCGGGTGAATGCTCAGAAGAAGCCCTGGCCGTAAAAAGCTCAGAGTGACGGAGTGCGCCATTGAAGGCTGCGCCCAGAGGGAAGGCTGAAATGAAAGCAGGTTGTTGGAGCTGTTTTTAATCCGTGGCTTACACCCGGTTGCTTGAACACTAGTTTAAACCATGGAGGTTTGAGAACTAATTGGGTCTGATCAGTAGTTCAAACCACGGTGGGTGCCTCTTCTTTCTTTTTTTTGCGGGGGACACCCCCTTTTTGGCTGGGTTTACAGGGCAAGGCACCAGGAAACTGTCAAATGTTCATGTTGCCAAGCCAACAATCTACTTCAAACCAGCCGCGAGAGGCCTCCGTAAGCTTCAATCAACCAGTTTGGTGCGATGGGTAGGGAAGGACAAGAGGAGCCGAGTCCGGGTTTTGGTGGAATGAATCCTCTTTTGGGAGTCCAGAATAGAGGAGAACCACCCACTCGTGTTTTTTTTTTGGTTTGTCTTGTTTTGCTCTTCGGGAGTTTCCATGTCTCATTCCCTATCGAGCCAGCAAGTCAAGAGGTGGTTCGGGTGTTGCTAAGCAACCTTTGGGTGGTTTGCCTTCGGGTTCTGTCAGGAATGTAGCCATCCTCTGAGCCCCTCCGAGGGTCTTCGAATTTTCGGGGGTCATTCCTCTCATTGCCTTGGCTCCCCATGATCAGCTGGCATCCAGAAATCTGGTGATCTTTGCCTTTTGGGGGAAAGGCTGAAAGGCTGAAAGGTCAGAGCCGATCGCAAACCCGCAAACTCCGTCTCCGATCGCAAGCCTCCCGCACCGCAAGCTTCCCGCAGGTTCCTGTACGAGCCGGAGCCGGAGGATACCACTTTCAAGGGCCGCGCCTGCCTCGGTGCCGCTTCCATCCGTTTCCGTTTCTCCCCCCCCCAAGATCCCCCAATCCCAAGAGCTCGAAAGCGTAATTGGGAAGTTCAGGTGTGTTTGGATTGGTTTGGATTTGCACTTGAACCCCTTTTGGTTTTGCAGGGCTCCTTAAAAGATCTCCATTTTGCAACCATTTGAAACATGTTGCTTTTTCCACACCAAAATAAAGGGACACCACCATGTACAAGGCAATGTTCAGGTGTATAATGTAAGGATCCCTGTTTTGTAGAGCGTAATTGGGAACCTCCAAAACAACAAGCCACCGAAAAGGCTGAATCGGGTCCTATGATAGGCCCGGATTGGGCACTCTTGGAGCAGCCAAATGGATGTGGCGTTTTTTGTTTTTTTTGTTTCCCCCTTTTTTCCGGGGGTCATTTTCCCAAAGCCAGGGAGCTTGGGGGGCCAGCATTGTCCTGTACAAGCAACTTTTTGTTGACGCCGGTCGCACGGGAGCCAAGGTGCGTATCATAAAATTTGAATCTGAAGGAGCCGACCTCGGAGCTAACGATCGGAGGTCTGCAAGAAAAGTGGTAGGTTCCACCACTGAAACGCCCAGCACTTGGAGAAGCACTACCGTACCGATGGTAGTGGGTTAGCTGGATGCGGCTGCGGATCCACCCCGGTTGAATATGAAAAGAGTACTCAAAGATTACTGAAAAGAAGGACCGACAAGGGGAAGAACAGATGCTTTCCACCAAAAGCGCATCCGAAACATCATTTTCTAGATACAGCCCCTCTCCTTGACTGCTATTGGGTTGGATCTTTAGATTCTATTTGTTGGGAAATAAAGGTGTTTTTCACTAAACCCCCCAAAAGTTGAACACTTTTTGCTGGGGGGTCAACAGCAACCAAGCTCTCGGTCGGCTTTTTTCCTTTTCGGTTGCCACGAGGCGGCCTCTTCGCCTTTTGCGCGCCCTGCGACATGCTCTCCAGGCGTGGAACCCGGCGCGGCCTTTGGACCATCTCGGCGACCGAAAAAAAGCTTCGGCGAGTCTTTTTGTTTGGCCAATCGATCCCCAAATTCACGTCTTTAAAGCCCCGGTTGGTTCGCCACCAGAAGTCTTCGCTCGCTTGCTGAGTTCCGTTCCTGAACGCTAGTCACTTTTTGGCCAATCCAGGAATTGATCGAGTCGTACCTGGAGTTCTCAAGCTTCTTCTTTCTAAGGGTACCTTCCAACCGTTCTTTCCAAAAATCCTTCTTTCTAGAAAACCGATCAGGTTTTTTGACAAAATAACGATGGTTGAAAAGAATGGGATTGGAATCGACGACGATTCTTGGGCCTCGGTTTCGCTTCAAAGCGCCCGTGGGCGCTCGGGTCGAAACGGGATCGATGTCATTCGCCGCGCCGCGCCTGCAGGCTCCTGCATCCCTAGGCTGCGTGAGGCGGGGCTGTTTTTCACCTCGGGTTCTCCAAAGTTGGGACGGCTTGGACCCCGGTTTTGGGACTTGCACCCCGGTTCCGCTTGAAAGATGGCGAAGGCTCGGCATCCAAACCGCCAAGCCACCAATTCAGGGCTCGCCGAGACGCGCTGCTGGGTTGCGCCAGGAGTCCATTCTGCACGCCGCTAGGATACATCGCGATATATCGATTCCGCCGCGCTCGCCTTTTCCCGCAGTTTGGCTCATTTCGCTGGTTTTGCCTGGGTGGGTCCCCGCGACCTGTGCCGACCGCCCGACCTCGGAGGTTCTCGCATTGCCGCCTGGCCTTCTGGACGCCCGCGCGGAGATGGCGGAGGTCCATCCGCAGGACTCTCTCGCGGCGCGGCGGCTGGAGTCGTTCCTGAAGGCGGTGGAAAGGATGCCAGGGGAGCTGGAGATCTTGGTGCAGAGGTGCGAGCCGGAGGAAAAAACGAGAAAGAAATCTGGACAGAGACAATTGGGCTGAAGTTGCGGTATTTCTCGGGGGATCAACTTCAGCTTGGAGTTGTGGTACTTTCAGGACGATCGACTTCAGTTTTGGGAGGTTTGTGGTAGGGGATTCAACTTCAGTTTTGTGGGTTCTGTGGTACTTTTGGGCAGACTCCCCCAAAAAAGTGCTCACTTCGTGTTTGTTCAGGTAGCTGCTTATTGGTGAAACCCCTAGTAAACCACCAAATCACCGGACTGCAAACCACCAATTCGAGGGAAGCTGGGCAGGGTACACATCCGCGAGTCCAAATTTCCGTTTGACACAGGAAGGCAGCTGGAGCAGGCCTTAAGACACCGAACGTGGTTCCTCAGACGCTTCTTGGGGTGGTGGCTGTGTGTCTTTCGAGGGTATCCTCAGGTTGCGCAAAGCAGAAGGAAAGCCACAAGACAGTGGATGGCCAAGATCCCGCGCCAATTGGCCTGAATGAAACCCGAAGCCCTGCAAATACCCCGGTGGGTACACCACCAATGCCAACTGCCAAGGGGATTTCGTCCAGCCACGGTATCTTGGCACATCGTGGGGCATCAAACTGCTTCAAGTAGTAATATGCCTTTAGGCCGCGCGACGGTTGGGGACAATTTGGGACCAGAGCTAACTCCCGCAAAATTGCACCGAGAAATGCATCTGGAGCGGGTCTTCTCGCCCGTCCCGCGAGGCGGCGCAAAAACCTCTGGGGTGAAGAGGAGGAGGAGGGAGTTTGGGTCCCGAGCGGAATGCAATAGGTGTCCTCTTTGCGAAGTGGTTGATTTGGGCGGGAACAATAGAGGGCGATTGGTTTACCTGGTGGTTGCCATCTATTTTCCCAAAAAGGACATGAATGGAAGACGAAGCCTCGGAAAATGGGCGAAATGGGGATGCGAGCAAAGTGGTCCTGCAGATTTGACAGGCTTCCCCCCAAAAAGTGCCTTTGGGTTGGCTTGGACATATTGTTGAGAAGCCAGGAAGTTTGTGGAACTCATGAAATTATGTTGACCCATGATTAATAAACCCGGCCCATTATTAGGGAGGTGTTCCCTCCAAAAGTGATGAATCCCCACTAAAAGCGGACACCCCCCTATTAATCAACCAGGGTTTATTACTCTGGGGTTAACATTAAGCAAAATCCCCATCGCAGTTTTGAACAAAGTTAGTGCGGAGTTGAGATTCTGGCGAATGGGTGTAGCCCGCCACTCCCTGAAATTCTGCAAGCGAACATAGATGAACATCGTCCCTTGCTTTGCACGTCCACGGGTTGCTCGCTTCGTTTGGGACCCCAAACTGGATTTCAGTGTTCCACTTGGTTTCCCTTTCCCACCGCAGCACAAGAGGGGTACCCTCAAAAGAAGGCCAGCCATCGGATTTTTTGCTCGCACGGGATGGAACCCCGGACTGGCCAGGAGAGGACCTGGGACAGTTCTGACTTCAACTGCGGCAAGAACGAGGCGCGAGGCCTGAAGGTAGAAGTAGATCCTGATGGCTATTGGGCAACGGATCTTTACACTCATGGTCCCCCATTTCTCACCCGTTTCTTTTTTGGTTGGGAGGGTTCGGGACCCTACTAAAATAGACAAAGCCGAAAAAAAGTTGGCACCCTGATTCTAACCTCTCTACTGGAGGACCTACTTGTGGTAAGCGAAACCAAGAGGAAAACCACCTGGAGGTTGGAGAGCTTATTTATGGCTATTGGGTAACGGATCTTAAGACTTAATAGCTTTTTGGTGGAAGTAATTCGGATTTTCCGAATTGAACAGCCACAAGTCAAATACTTTTTGGCAGAGGGGTCAACAGCCACAAAGTCGTTTTCAGAGGCGTCTCCCCAAAGCATGTTTAGAGGAACTCTCCGAACACCATCATTTTCGAGGAACCTCAAGACACACAGCTTTCGAGGTACCGAGAAACACAAGAACAACTACCATGTCAGATGAGCTTCATACACATCTAAACATATCGCCTTCTTCGCCCATTAAAGATGAGAATCCAAGGGTAGGAGGGATGTGAAAAATGGATTGGCGCCTGATTGGCCAGGTTCCAATCCCGGCCATGGGATGAATATGCCCAAGTCACTGGTGGTCTTTTCCTGTTACACGGGTTTTAGTCTTTGGTTCCATTTACCAGGGTGCCGTTTTGGTAGCCACAGCCACATGGCAGATGGCAGGTCAGGGCGTCCCGGGTCTGCCCCTTCCAGCGATCACGAGCAGATGGTCGGCACGTGCAGCGGCAGATGCTGCGCCTCTAGAAAGGGAGTTCGAGTGAGAGTGACGAAGGCGTCAGCAAGGCGTTTGGCCTGCCAAGTTCAGGGTTCTCTACAGATGTTCTCCCCCCTTTGATGGGTTTTGGACATGGCTTTGCGTGGTTTTGGAATGAACTTTGTGGTTCGGAGGGATGTTGAGGGGAACCCTGAGTTGTCCACTTTTGGGCAACCCTAAGTTGTCACCTGCCTCCAAGAGAGGAAGTACAGGTTCATACCCCTTGGCGCGGAAATCACTTTGGGTTGCTACTGAGGGGATGAACTACCAGGACTTGTACTATTGGGCAAGTCACAGAAACGCCACTAGCAAGATGTGCGCGTCACTGATGAGGGTTCTTTTCATAAGGTTTCCATATGTTCGATCTGTGAATTGTTAGAATTGCCCAGAAGGCAATGCCTGGGTCACTCTGCTGATTCGATTCTTCTGCACCAGCGGGAGAATCCACACAGACATTGACCCCATAGACCCCAGATTTTGGCCATCTGGAAATGTCAACTTGCGGGTGGGACATTTCCATGTGTAGTTGCATGTTCTGTCTGGTCGTGGGATCTGCCCCCCTAGCAACTTGCTCAGCTACTGCGGATGCGGGAACTCTGCATCCCCAGCAGAAATCTTTGGTTATACTGTCTGGTCCCGGGCGCATGCCAGCCTTGTTTTTCATTTGGTACTCTGGACAGTCACCAGCCGGAGCTGGTCGGGCCAGGGCAATCTGGCAAGATGTGCGCGTCACTGATGAAGGTTCTTTTCATAAGGTTCCCATATGTTCGATCTGTGAACTGCTAGAATTGCCCAGAAGGCAATGCCTGGGTCACTCTGCTGATTCGATTCTTCTGCACCAGCGGGAGAATCCACAGAGACATTGACCCCATAGACCCCAGATTTTGGCCATCTGGAAATGTCAACTTGCGGGTGGGACATTTCCATGCGTAGTTCCATGTCCTGTCTGGTCGTGGGATCTACCCCCCCAGCAACTTGCTCAGCTACTGCGGATGCGGGAACTCTTTGCCAGCTGCATCCCCAGCAGAAATCTTTGGCTATACCGTCTGGCCCCGGGCGCGTGCCAGCCTTCTTTTTCATTTGGTACTCTGGACAGTCACCAGCCGGAGCTGGTCGGGCCAGGGCATCTAACAAGATGTGCGCGTCACTGATGAAGGTTCTTTTCATAAGGTTTCCATATGTTCGATCTGTGAATTGTTAGAATTGCCCAGAAGGCAATGCCTGGGTCACTCTGCTGATTCGATTCTTCTGCACCAGCAGGAGAATCCACACAGACATTGACCCCATAGACCCCAGATTTTGGCCATCTGGAAATATCAACTTGCGGGTGGGGGACTTCAACTGGAATTTCCATGTGTAATTCTAGGGGTTGATTCCCCATTCCTTTTTTTAGTCATCGTTTTTTTCAAAGACCAGCCCTTTCCCCAGGGTTTTTGGTTTTCTAGAAAGAAGGATCCCTGGAAAGAATGGACATGGAAGGTGCCCCTGGAGTAATTCCATGTCTGGTCTTTGTACCCCCCACCCCCTTGCTCAGCTGCCGCGGATGCGGGCAAGCTTTGCCGACCGCATCCCCAGTAGGAATCTTGCATGGCCGCGGGCGCATACCAGCCTTTGCTCATGTGGGAGTGTCTTTTTTTGAGGGTGCCTTTTTTGTGTGGTGTTAAGGGGGCACCAAAGGGACACCCACCATATTAGTGGCATCCCCTACAGGAGACACCACAATGGCAACCTGAACAGAAAAGCCAGCCGGACGTGGTCGTGGAAGCTGCCAGTGGCCAGTTTTGCACTCAAAGCCAACCCCTCTGAAGCTCTCCAAGTACTGTATGACAACAACGATTTTTTTTACGCCGGATCGGTGTGAATCTTCCACTACCATGGCCCAGGGTTTGGAGGTTTTGACTCGGCTCCGGTGAGTGGATCTCACCGCGGACCGTTTCAGCGCCCAAAACCATGTGCATGAAGCACCGAGACGGTCGCCAAGCTGGGAACTCAGGCGCCTTCAAGGGAATACATGCGTGGTTCTTTAGGAAAAAGGGGGAAGTTCCCTTTATGACTTTCGTTGTGGGGATAAGGAGGTCCCCTTATCTTTGGTTTTACAATTTGGGGGATGTGTTTGTGAATTCAACCTTTTTCTCTGACTACAATGGTTGGCTTTTTGGGATGAAGAGAAAGTTTCCCCCATGGGAAAGCTACGAAGGGTCGATTCCACCAAAAATGAGTTGCTTCCTCATGGTTTTCCTTTAAAACACCACTGGTCTACCTAGGTCCTTATGGGTGTTTGAAGGAAACTCAGGATGAAACATCCTAAGATGTTTGGTTTCCTGGCGGCCTTTTCGTTGTACATTTCCTCACCAGGAAACACTTTGCCTATTGCATACAGAGGGTCTGAGAAATGAAGAAACACGCATTCCCGATGGCTTCCCTCGGGCAACATGAGATGTTACGGGCTGTTTAGCACACAACTTGATGTTCAACCGCAGCTTACATCGCATGCTCGCTGTAAAGCATCAGATTGTTCAAATGCCCCTTTCCACTACCAAACCACCTCCAGCGGACAATGAAAACATTAGACAGAGACCAGCAAAAAACGTGTTCGAAACCAGCTTGATCGCCGATTTCCCTTCTGAAACCAACAACAAACAGTTCTGTCGCAAGCCTAGCTTGAACGCCGCCTGTTCCTTGGGTGTTCCTTGATTTTTCGTGCGCCCCCTTCCAACTAGCTGAACACCTCGCAAAGCTGATGTTTAAACACCAAAAAGGGACAACTCTGGGTGTGCTTTTCTTTGGTCGCCTTTTTGAATGGCCTGAAAGGGAAACCAAAAGGAACCCCGCCATTTCGAGGCTCCAAACCCTTTCCAGTGCCAAGTTCCCTTCAAACCCAGCAGGGCACTGGGTCGAAACCAGAGGATGGCCCTGGTAGATGAAACAGGTCGAGGGTAGCTGTTCGCGACCGAAACGAGACCAAGGACAGCAATGTGCTGAAATTCCTGACTGGCTGTTTGCTTTTCTGATCCCCTACGAAAAGTGAGGAACTTTTTGTGGGTTACATAAGGAAACCCAACCACTCAACCAACTAAAAACTACAGAGAAAGCTCGAAGCAAAACGGCGGATTTGCTCAATTGGGCCCTTAGTAGGTTCCATTTTGTTTTTACTTGATTCATGCCTGTAGAAGGTCCTACCGTTCTTTCTGGATGAAGGCCTATAGCAGGTTTTACATGATTTGTCTAGATAAAGGCCTTAATAGAAGGTTCTACTGAAGTTCTACTTGTTCGGATTAAGGCGGATAGAAGGCTCTGATGGCGTTTTGGTTTCTGGCTTAAGGCTTTTTGCGCCTTGCCGAAGTTCAAGGTGCGGCGCTCGCTTGGGGCTTCTGGCTCCGAAATATTCTTGCAACTATGGCCAGACACGGATGGCCGTGGAGTTTTTTCTGCCGCAGTGAAAGAGGATGGAGCGGGGCCCCTCCGCTTTCCAGACCCGAATCCAGGGACCGGAAAAGATGGCGGCGTCTCTCGGACCGCGGTGCGGAGGTGGGTTCGCTTTTGCGGGGGGAAGTTTGTCATATGCCAATAGGTGTCCGATGCCGCTTCATTTGTGTCCGTCCCTTTAAACCGGGAGGTGAGGAGGGGGGTTGGATACCATGAATCTGGGGAACGGGCTGCAGAATGACACCTTTGCAAGGTCAAGCAAACGGGAGGGTTGGCCGAGCTTCGTCAACCCCCCAAAAGCCTGCTTAGCAAAAGCAGTGTGTGTGTATACTATCTCTATGTCTTTCAATTTAAATACATGTATGGTTGTGTCAAAACCAATGGTACCATTTTGGTTGGTAGGTGAATTCACCACCCATTTTAGAACCTATTTTTCAGTGGTTTGAATCGGATGTTCACTGGCCAACTGATTTGGATTTTGACCCATGGTTTGTGTCCGCCTGCCCTTCAAAGCCACCATGCCACATGGGAAACGTGGGAAACAGCCCAGAAGTTCGCAAGACAGTGGCTGTAGGCTTTCGGAACTCGATTTCACCTCAGATCCTCTGATTGCGGGTCGCAAGCTGACCAATTGCGGCGAGTCGCAAGAACTTCAAGATAGAATGAGGCAAGTGGGATTTTGACTGGAGCCTTACGAGTTTGATTTTATGTTAGAATGGAATTGAGGGAGGTTGGCCCTATGCTTCCGCAAAACGTGTGTGTGGGGTGAATTTGGCTTTCTTTGAAGGGTACCCGTTGTTTTGATTTAAAGGGGCACTGCTGGGACATCAGCTACGCCCCATTTTCAAGGTTTCCGTCCGAGAGCCATGGATGTTTTTAGACCAATGCAACTTGGGGTTGGAATCGAACTGTACCTCCAAATCAAATAATAGTGGCAAAAAGAGGGACCCTATTCATCATGAATTCAATTAGTGGTTATTGTATTGATGCTCTTCCACCAACTATTTCGGCCACTGTTTTATCATCAAATATACAAGTGAATATTGATTCAAGATTAGGAGTTCATATACCAGTGTCAATTCACCAGGCCACCCTTCGCAGATTTACCTGGCTGATGGTCCATTCGATCTGCCGCGTTTCGGAGGTGGCGAAACGGGATCTGAGCGTCGCTTGCCATAGGCAGAGGCGCGAATTGGATCGAAGCACCCGTCGACCAGACGCCGAGGGGCGCCGCTTTTTTTGGGTGGTCCGCATGTGGTGTATCGCCTTTTCTGGAATGCTTCCATTTGCTTCAGAATATGTTTTAATCTTCTCCTGTTGGTTTCACGGGCAATCTGGCACTGCTGGAAATATGTCTTATTTTTCCAGGGGGCTTAAACAATTGGAAGAATGGGTTTTCTATAGGGTTAGTTTCCCATTCTTTTCAACCATCGTTCCTTTCCAAGACCAGGTGTTTCCCCTGGGTTCTGGGGGTTTTCTAGAAAGAAGGATCCCTGGAAAGAATGGAAATGG